GGCTGAGGTTAAACCACGACGGGAGGGTTGGGTCCGGCTGTGCAGGCAGCCCTTTGCCAGGCAGGCAGCCCCCAGACCCCCGGCTTCTCCATCACCCCTGCCTCCCTTCTGTCCTTTCCACATCGCTCTTCAGTTTGCATTTCATGACTTTTCTTTTATGTTCTGTCCCTCTGGGTTACTGAGTTGGTCTCAATAAAGCATTTCCTTTCCTTGGTTTCTCCTTTTTTTTCTTCATGCCGCTCTGTCCCTCATCTCCTGCCTGTCTCACGCGGGTGCTGGCAGCTGGGTGGTAGGAGGTGGTTGCAGGCAGCTCACAGCCGTGGGACCCTCGGGACGGTTGTGGCTGAGCCCTGAGCGGCTCCCGTGCTGCCAAGCCGAGCAGGACGGGGCCCTTTGCGCCTCAGCCCGGGGGATGACCCCCACCAGCCCCCTAGCTCTCGTACCAGCTTTCCTCATCTCGTGCCATCCTCTCCATGACTTCTGGTCTGAAATAGCAGGGTTAGACCTGGTCCTGTCCATTCCCTGTCCCCACTCCCAGCCGTGGCCCGCAAGCAGCGGTCTCAGCCCTGGCATCTCTCCTGCATCACCCTCCCTTGACGAAGGGGCTGCCCCTGCCCTTCAGCAGCGATCCCTAAATGGGTCCCTGATCCTCCTCCTCCTTCCTCAGCATCCTACCCTGCCCCACAACCCAGTTCCCAAATTGATGGACCCACAGCCCCGTCCTTGCCCCGGGACCGGCTGCCTCCTCCTGCCAGCCGAGCTCAGCCCTGCTGCTGGCTGGGCGGCTGCAGGATTTCCAGCGAGGGCTTTGGGGAACGCTGTCTCTTTTCACTAACTCGCCTTTCTCTCTCTCTTTCCTCTGCTGCGCTGATGTCTCCGTTTTCCCTAGAGCGCTCCCAGCAGGAGGCCGAGAAAAACCGCGTTCTCACTAACGAGCTGCGGGTCATCCTTACCGAACTTAACAACTGAGCTGCCCGGAGTCCCTGGCCCCAGCGCAGCCTCCCTGCCCCGTTTCGGCCAGGCTGGCTCGGGGCTGGGAGCCCCTGCCCACTCCCCACTGGGGCTAAGTGGGGCGTGGAGCCTTGACTTATCCCCCCCGGGGTAACCGCCCTGCTTATGGGGGACAGGGAGAACCTCTGGAGCTTATTAGTTTTTCTTGGGAGAGGAATGAGGGTTTTTGTGATGTACTGGGATGCCCATGCAGTGATGGCTGTCCCCCAGCATCAGCCTGGCCCTGCCGGCGAGGGATGCAGTGGTTTGTATTGCTGCCTTCCTCCCCTTGTCCCAGGAGTCAGTGGCCAGCCTCTTCCTCCTCACTCTGGTCACCCCAAACTGTGGAGGGAGGATCCCCTCAGGGTGGGGTCCCTGCAGGCTGCTGGGAGGGCTGGGATAGGAGCTGGGGACCCGGCAGCACCCACTGCCCCAAACTTGGGGCAGGGGACAGGGAAGAACCCAGCAGGGAGCGCTGGGAGATGGGGCTGGGTGGGCACAGCTCTTGTCCCATCCCCGTCTCTAGAGGGAAGGAGGATGCCATTTGGAAGCAAACACCAGAGGAGGCTGCCTTGGCAGCAGGCTGCCTGGCAGAGCTCATCCCTGCAGCCTCATTAGCTCTGCTCCTTCTGTCTGCTGTCCTCTCTGCCCATCCTCCTGGGCTGCTGTCTCACTCCTTTTCTTCAAGGAGCACCGCTGGGTCATGCAGCAGGCACTGGCTCTCCTCTTTTGCTAGCCAAGGGTTTGTGCACGTGCCCACAGCCTGCCGGTGGTGATGCCCGGGAGCAGGACGTGCTGGTGGCTGGCCAAGGAATTGTACCCACCAGTGGGACCTGCGCTGCAGAGGGCCTCGCCATGGGCAACGGGGCACCGTGGGAGGAGGGACAGGCTGAAGAGTGGGGCCCGTCTGCCCCCAGTGACTAGCCTGGCTG